GTTCCTGACGTTTTTACCGACTCCGTGCGCGACAGAGAGAGAGAGAGAGAGAGAGAGAAAGCAGTTCCACAATTTCCGCGCGTCGATTTTTTCCGAAGAACCGCTCGCGCCTTCTCTCGCAGGGGTGCGATTAAGTCGCGATTAAATTTTATCTGGAATGGCGGCGCATTTAACGCGGAATTACGGCCGTCCTCTCGCGTATTTCGCGTATCGACGTTATCGGGGCGAGCGCGAGCAAAACCGGATACGCGACGCGACGTCGCGAGAGCGCGTCTCCGTCTTCCCGAAGCTCAATGTTGAACGTGCGACTATGCGCGGACACGAGGCTCGCTCACTTCGCCCATCGAATCGTGGCCGTCGGACCGGACGTCGAAAGCCGATAATCCAGTTTTCAATTTCAAGAATGACGCGTTCTCCGAGTCGCCTGAGTGCGCGGCGGGTTCGGCCGTTCGTTCGCTCGCTCCGAGGGGGCAAGAAGACCGACGGCAAATAAAAGTACGATTCGCCGAGGCACGGAGAAAGAGAGGGAGAGACCTCTTTCCTTCGCCTCCACCTCCTCCCCCTCCTTCTTCTCCTCCCTGAGACGTTGAGGCGAGTCGATGTACGCCGTATGGGGTGGGAACGAGGGGGCGAAATAAAACGAGCGAGGGAAACGCGAGGTCGAAACGCTTCTCGAAGAGAAGGAGGAGGAGGGAGGAGATAGAAGAGAAACGACGAAGAAGGAGACTGACGACCGCGCTGCGAGGAGGAGAGCTCGGGATGAGGCCGGGCGGCGGGAGGGTAGAGCGAGCACGCGGTAAAAAGAAAGCAAGAGGGGCTGGGAGATAAAATAGGAATAAAGGGAGGAGAGAAACGTAGATCGCCGCGAACTTCAGAAATGTCATATCCGTCAGTGTCCGGGGCTCTGCCTTCTGGAGGCAACCGGTTCCAAACGCCCGGCAGCGGATGATAAAGTATTGTCCACAACCGCGCGCGGCAATTACCATCGCGTATCGCCGCTCTCGCGAGCTATCGAATAAATTCGTCGCGAACTGCGGCTGAGGGGGTGGTGAACGCGCCTGCTTTCCCGTAGCTCTCGGGTAATCGGTGACCCCCGGCTGGATCGATCACGACGTGTTACCGTCGGATCGCGAGGACGGTGAGATCCGCGAGGCCGTTGGGGACAGGACTTACCGCGGAGAAAGAGAGAGAGAGAGAGAGAGCGGCTACCTCGAGGATCTAATCGCGCAGCAATGCGTGCACGGCTGTGCTGGTTGACCAGTCAGTCAGTCGCTCTCGCACGAAAGCACGCCCGGATCCACGACGCCGTCGTGCTTTGAACGATGTCTTGAAAGAGAGAGAGAGAGAGAGAAGAGAGACCACTACGTGGTTGGCGGTAGCGCGAGCCTGGAAATGGACTCCCGGTGTCTGGCTTCAGGCGTTCTCCAATTTGACGTGCATTCACGATATAATTGCCTCAACGTGTATCTTTTATCAACGATATTTATTTACTTATTCATTTATAATATTCATTATTTATTAACGAAAATCCTTTAATTATTTCGTTACAATTACTTTAACTTACAATTCAATCATTATTTTTCCATTTATCAACGATATATTCCATTTAATTAGAATTTAATTCAAATAGATGCTATAATAACTATGATGTACTCGGATTAGAGTGACCACGCGTTTCCCGAGCGATTTCACTCGGATTTCGCGCGATCGCTCGCCGTCGTCGAATTGTTCTCCATTTGCTAATGATCCGCCGGACGGTCGAAAGCTGCCCGCTCGCCCGGAAACTCACCCCCCGTTCTCTCTCTCTCTCTCTCTCTCTCTCTCCCGTTTAATAACCATTAGCCGCGCGACGTGACGGCCGCGCCGGTAGATGCCGACCGGCGGCGATTTTCGGAGTGTCCCGAGCCCCCCGAGCGCGCTAGGGTGTCAAAGATCTAGAGCAGATAGCGCGGCGCGGCTATATTGATGAGGTGGCTCTCCGCGTATTGATTCCGGGGCGGAGGGTTTTCCCCGGGCGCCCCGCAACGAGCACCCCGCGAGCCCCCTTTTGCTACGCGCAAGGGTTGATAAGATCCGCCAGATAAGGCATGATTACACACCGCACAGTACCTACCACCTACCCCCTTCCCTCCCACCCTCTCTCTCTCTCTCTCGTTCACTCGTTCGCTCCCACCTCCTGTTCCTCATCGTTACAACCCTCCGTTCGTTCGTCCGTTCGTTCGTGCCTTCCGACCCCTGCGCTTCATTCCCGAGGTAAACAAGGGGTTACTCTGTTCCCCGCGATGGACGACGCGACAAAAATGGATCGTGCGGATTTTGCCGAAGCCCATGTAATTTTGTCGCGTGCGCGATCACTGCTGTCTCTCTTTTGCTTTCTCCGTAATTGTGAAAGACGTCACGGCAAACATAAGCGATGAATCTCCGTGGAAGCGCGTCGAGATCGTGAGACGCTTTGACGATTTTCGCGAAATAACGACGTTCCCTCCGCTTCTCTCTCGCTGTTACAATATGCTCGGCAGTTGCAGTTTTATCGTTCGATCTCCGCAGTCTCTCTCTCTCTCTCTCTCTCTCTCTTCTTCTTCTTCTCGCTACAATATATTCGCTACAATAACCGGCCGCGCGCATCGACCACCCCGGATACTTCGAACACACTCGATCACGCACCGATCCGCGAGCCTCGTCCCTGAAATATCGACGACGAGACACGAGACTGCGCACGAAAGGGGGCGACTTGAAAAAGGAGAAAAAAAATCGTCCCGAGAAAAATCGGGGACACTCTCTCTCTATCCCCCTCTCGGCTTTTTGGTACTGTCTCAAAGTTCATTGTGCGTGATGCAACGTAGCACGAGAGGGCGGGACAAAGGAGGGTAATTTTATGTCCTGCACGAGATGGGAGGGCGAATGGTACACAAGCTATCCCTCTCGCTCAAAGAAATTTCAATAAGCTCGCCATAATGCGCCGAGGGGGGCGGGCGGGAGGCGCGCATCCCCTGTATTTTGTGCTTTCGCCGACAATGGCGCAGGTATAGTTTCGCCCGGTTGCGTGTCCCTCTTCTCCCGATGCCTGCCGGATGCAGGGTGCGGTGTCATCTCAGACGGCGAGGTTAAGTGGTCCGTGAGTAGGGTGAGAGGAGCGAAAGGAACGTCCCGCGTCGTCACCGGCGTTATCTCAGCTTATCGCGAAACTCGCTTTCGTTACTCCTGGTCAGTCGCGTATCGCGTTATCCGCGTTATATGCGATCCGAGAGGTCATCGGTGACTTGAAAACGCGCGATCTCCGAGGAGAGATCCGTAGGTGTTAGGCGCGCGACGCGCCGGGATTATCCGCGGTATACGGTTTTAACAGTAACAGTATCGTCCATTAACGGTTAAGTGGTTCGCACAGCGGGAAGAGCCATAGAGAGAGAGAAAGAGAGAGAGAGAGAGAGATACGAGGGTAGATAGGTAGGTAGGTCGATAGGAGTGAAAGGTGGCTACGTAAGTCTAGGATGAAGGGAGGGCGGAAAGAGGGTACTATAATACGATCCAACGACGACACGAGATACCTGCTCCCCCCCTCCCCCCTCTCTATCTCTCTCTCTTTCTCGTTCTCTTCCTCGCTCTCTCGTTCTCCCGCATCATCCTCGCAGCGTCCCGAAACTATGCGTTCGCGCGCCGCTCAAGTTTTAGGTTTGTGATACGCGGGGAGAGGAGAGAGAGAGCCGCGGTTAGTCCCCGAGGGATAAAGTGGGTCCCGTTTCTTTTCCTTAAGTGTTTGCCACTCGCATCGCCGTCGCCGACGAGGGTGCGCACAGGTGTACGGCGTTTCCGAGTTTCCCGCTTATCCGTCGAGAATGGAAGATACTTTTTTGTGTGTGTATATATATATATATATATATATATTTATAGAAATATATATGTGTATATACATGTATATACATACGGCGAGAACGAAGGTCTCCCTTTGCCGGCGATTCTCCTCCCATTCTCGAGACACGTCGATCTCACCGGCAGGCAGCAGGGGGAAGGATTTGAGAGATGAAGCGGGGATGAGGGGGGCGGCAAGGTGGAGGTTGATGTCACGGTAACCCGCGTCAAGCCCCGTGGCTTTTTGATTCCGCGCGTAAGCCGACGGATCGAATGCGCTTCTGGTGTGCGGGAGTAGACGGACTCTCGAGTACTCTCCTTCTCTCTCTCTCTCTCTCTCTCTATCTCTTTCCCCCTCGGCTCTCCCTCGCTCTCGCGAGGAGAGAGGAGAATACTTTATTCCGCCGCACGTTCCATAATCCCTTCTCGTACGGCGCGAGTCCGATCGCGATTTTTGCGCGCGACGTACGCTTCTCCTCGAGATCACTCTTTTCTTTTTCTCCCGTTCGTACGGTGGCCTCTTCGAGTTTCCGTGTGTGCGCGCGCGCGCGACGTACGATAAGAATCTCGTTTACTCGGTGAGTCACAGCAGGTCTGCGAGAGTCGGGATGAAAATAGATTCGCCCGATAGATCGATCTCACAACGTGTCTATCGCGCGACAGCGGCTCCCTTTTCCTCGCCGTTTTCCCGAGAACGGCCTGATGCGCCGTTTTTCGCGCGCGATCGGGACAATTTCAGCAGTCGCGATCGCAACAGCGAATTCCCTTTAATTGTATCCGAACCCCCCCCCCAGCATTACCCGGAGAATCACTCCGCGCTCTCCACTGCTAACGTCGCACATCTGTGATCCGTTAAACGATCTTTCAACAATATCCGCAAATCTATGAAAATATCTGTCCGTGAGCCTGTGAAAAGTCCATTCTACATCCGGTTCTACCGTTGAAGGATCAATGAAAACATTCATCGACGCGCCGATTGTAAGTTTGCTTCGGTAAATGCAGAATCAGACGGAGCGCGTTCAAGTTTTACGGAAGGTATATCTCGGTAGTGCTGGGGTTGAATCTAGCCGACGATCGCGCGCGAGATCGTCCGAGACCGGCAGCGTGACGGGTGTGATATCTCTGTCTTCTCTTTTCCAAAACTGTCGCTGCAGAGTGCGGCGAGGCGGGCCGGCACCAGCTGCGCCAACTGCAAGACGGCGACCACGACCCTCTGGCGGAGGAACCAGGCCGGCGAGCCGGTCTGCAACGCTTGCGGGCTTTACTACAAGTTGCACAACGTGAGTACTCTCATTAATTATTCGTTTCGCCCGCACAACGACGGCGTCGCGAGTTTGACACGGGGATGTTTCAAAGCGCACAGCTGCGCACCCGGCAGAAGCTGCTCGCTCGCTCGCTCGTTCGTTCGTTCTCGCGATCGTACTGCGGATACGTTCAATGACGAAGAGGAAGACTAACCGTCCCGATTATCCGTGCCGGCTTCACGGCGCGTTCCGACGCGTTAATTAGTTAATTAGTCGGTTAATCGAAGGAGAAAGTCGCCGACTTCGACGCGAGACTTCCGGGACAGCCGGTAGCAATTCGGGTCTTCTGCATCGAGCCTGTCAGAGGCCAAACTGATGATCGACTCCGCTGTTTGAAAGTGTCAATTTTCATTAGTTTTCGACCGATTGATTTTCCCTTTCTCATTCAAACATCGCCGACACAGATGTAACGAACAATATTACGAATAACTCATTCGTCTCCACAAGATTCTACGACAAAAAAAAAGAGAAACCCGTCGTACACAGGAACAATTTCGTGTTGAAAGCGTAGGATCGTTATTATCACAAAATTGTTTACTGTAGACGATTCACATACGTCATATTTACGAGGGCAGGGTGAAAAGTGGTGCAAATTCATGCTCAAAGATGGCGCTAACGAAATTTAATATGTCATGTGCTCTATCGCGTGTATCAACATCGATGGACCAAGTGCGTTCAATTACGAGGAAATTATGTCGGGAAGTAAAAATAAATTTTCATTGCGTAAAAAACTCTTTCATTTTCATTCGCAAGACTTTACAAACCCACCCTCATGTCACTTTACTACGTGTCATTTTACAATTAAACCATCTTCCTCTGACTTTGATAAATTCATCCCTGAAGATATTAACTTGCCGAAAGATCAGGAACGTCGCAGAAAAACGAGGCTGAACAACTTGGCTCCCGAGAAATTCAACGGATTCCAATACCTACGCGCTCGCACAATCGCTCTCGTGCTCGGCTGAATCGCTTCGACGCGGAGGAAGCCGACTCGGTCGCACTCAGAGAGGAAGAACAAACTATAAAGCTGTATCGGAGCTGAAATAGCGGCAGCTAATGTAGTTGCTACCGCAGCTAAATTTATTAGCTGTTCGAGTTAAGACGCTACGGCGAACAATACAGTTGTACCTTGCAGCAACCGCATTTCGCCTCTAATATAGCTAACGTCGTGGTCACAGCTGCGGCTGATAAATTTAGCTACGCTAACAACGGCATTAGCTGCCCCTATTTCAGCTACCACAGCTACATGTTAGCTCCTACATGACTAATTCTTTTCCCGAGCGCGGATAACAAAATCGCGAGAGATTTCACGGAGGGCACCTTCGTGTTCGCCGCGGTGTGTTTCACTCTAACGTCGGAAGCGATATCGCTGGGTGGCCATACACACACATACACACTCACACACTCGCGAAAATGCGCGTACACATACACACACACACACACGTCGGTCGACAATGCAAGCACCGCGCACTCGCGCGCACATACGCGGAGGGGGTCCTCCGGTGTGTTGTACCAACAATTAGGATGCTTTCTGGTTTGCCGGACGTGGTCCTTACACACGTACACGGGCCGCTTGGAAGGGGGTGGAGCGTGCTCAACGGCGTGTGACACCGGAAGTGCCGGAAGCGAGCGCCACGGCACGAAGGGGGACGCGATAAACGCGCGATAGAGACAACAGGGAGAGGCTGCTGCCGACGGCGGCAATGAGAGAGAAGAATCTCCCTGCTTGTTTTTTTTTCTTCTTCTTTTCCTTTCTTTCTCCTCTTGTCCTTCTTTCCGCTTTCTTTCCTCGTCGAAGACGACGGAGAGACCCCGTCACCGTCGTCGCGCGCTGGACTTCCGCGGGACGGAAATCTCGAAGACGAGAGTGAACGCGCGTAGGCGACGGCCTTAATAGGCGAGACACGCGTCGCGACGGTTTCTAGCCGCTGGAATTCCGCGAGATTAACGCGCTCACGAGACGGCCTGTGCTTTACTGTCGCGCAGAACGACCGGAGGTCTCCCTCCTTCCGTCGGACAATCCGAGTACGACGAGCACTGAGAGGAAAAAAGTCGACGATTTTAGTACAAACCGGCGGCCATCCTCGGCGTCAGTCGTGGTTCGCGAGATTCCGACGAGAAATTCATGGCGGCGATACGTCGCGAAAAGAACGCTCTTTTCCCGCGAGTTTCGCATCTCGTGTCCAATAGGAAGGAGTCTCCCGAGAATTACTGGAAATAAAATTCTCCTATCAGATGAACGGGATGCGTCCCTAAACTTATGAAAAAAAAACGAAGTATCGTTCTCTCGTGACTGACTGTGCGTACGAAGTTATCGTCGGTAACATCCTAGTAGCGGTCACCGCGAAAATGAGTTTCCCGGGAAACCGGCGTTACTTCACTCTGCTAAAGTAGAGGCAGAAATAGCAATTTCTTTCTCAACGCGGTCGCTGAAAGAATTCGCGTTCCGCGACGTCCGTCGGAAATACGCCGAGATACTATTCGCGACTGCGCACGTGCGTAATTATCCAGCGTTAGCGCGATAAATCGCGATCGTCTCTTGATCTCTTTCTCTCCCTCTCCATCTATCCGTCCATCTATCTCTCTCGCAGTAGGACGTTATCTCAACGGGATCGAGATAACGGCGAGAAGGCGGGAGAAAGAGAGAAAGAGAGCGAACGGGGGGAAAAAGCCGCGTAAATTTGGACGGACGATTTGCTCGGCGACGGGTCCCGCACAGTGCACCGCCTTGTTTCCGCGTCACGGTAGGCGGGAGGGGGGAGGGGGCGGCAGACAGAAAGCTCACTGTTAAGGGGGGCAAACGTGACGAATGTGTCCGAGGCGGTGAGGCCCGCCGTTCGCTCTCGCGGGGAAATCGCGAGCCAATTAGCGCGCGCCGCAAATGAATCCTCTTTCACCCGAAGAGCTCTCCCCCTCGTTCTCCTCTCCTCTCCTCGCCGGCGCGAGTCCGCGTTCGCTCTCGGGGCCCTCTTTCTCCCTCGTCTTATCGCGATCAGCTTAGGAGAGATCGCGCCGGCTGGAAATCAAGATACGCCGCTTGCCAGACAAGCTGCTACGGATACGTCCCTGACTCGCGGCGGGTGCGGGGGGAGGGGACGGCTGCAGGACACGGGAGGTCGTGGCGCGGGTCTCTGGATGATGCGCTTCTCCGAGGACGACCGCGCGGGGGACTTCTATACTCGTGCCGGCGCGAGTTCGTTTCGCTCTCTCGCGATGCGCGAGAAAGTGAAAACGGCCGCGTTTCGATGCTGCATGAATTTATCGCATATTTCGCGCACTCGCCTGCGAACGGTACTCATGATTCAGTCCTGCGTTCGAGATCACCCTGAGGTCGTCTTCGGATGAAACGGTTCTTGCAGGTATCCGAAGATGAACTCATAAACTCAGAAACACACGGCGACGGGAAACGGAGATTTCTCGTCTTTCGAAACGTATCTGTGGAATTTCAGCGAAATTTCAGCCGAAGTTTCGCTGAACTTTTATTCGTTGATGAGTAATAAGGGAATACCGAAAATGAGTTTCTGAAAAGCGCTCGTGGCCCATTCTCGTGGCTCCCCCANCTGCATACCCGTCGCATTTACGATTCATCATATGTACCGGTGTAGGTACATCCTGCGCGTGTAATACGTTACACTTTGAATTCACGTTAGGGTACGGGGAGTTTAATAGTGGACTTCCTGTACCGCGGATGCATGCCCGCGGGGGATGAGGGAGGAAGGAGAAGGAAGAGAACGAGGAGGAGGAATCGCGAGACGGACCAGCGCGTTCGCCTCGCGGAAATGAGAAGTCTCTTTCTCTTTTCTCTCTTCTCTCTCTCTCTCTCTCTCTCTTTCTTCCTCTCTTTCTCTCCGCTGAACAGCGACCGATTTCAATCGGCGGGTCCCTTCCCACGGCCGAGACACAACTTCGATTGTTCCGCCGTCTCGGAAGAAACATTTGCCGTTTCCCGAATACGCCCGCTTCCGCTTCCTCCGCAACGAGAGGACCCCCTCTCGGCGAGTCCTTCGGGGGGGGGGGGGAAGATCGGAANAAGAGGAGAGAGATTTTGTCCGGAAGAGCGAAAAGAGAGAAAACGCGAGACTGCAATAGATGCTCGATAATCGACGAGCTTTTCCAAGGACGAAGGACGGGCCGACAAAAGACTCGGCTATTACACGGGGCGAGCCGACGCGCGCAATGAAACGCTTTTCTTTCTCGGCGAACAGCGGAGGCAAAAGGTCGTGTTCCACCGGCCGCGCCACCGTCGAAGCCAACGACGCTTGTCGTCGTTCTCGTCGCTGTCCTCGCGTCGCGCAGTC